TGCATACGGGACCTACAGTTTTACGCAGGTTCCGAACGGCAGTTGGAGAAATGTCTTTCTTTAGCAAGAGATTATACTCTTGGAGGTCTCTTGCCAGGTACTCTTGCCAGGCCACCAATAGCAGCTACGAACGTAACAAAAATTCTTTTTCTTATTTGGACCTGTCGGGGAGCGAACAGTTGACATCTAGCACAGTAGACTGGTGCGCTGTCTATCATACCACGCTCGCGCTCAATTATTGTTTGCACATGCGTATTTTGACGTATATTAATTGTTATATTATATGTACTATATTTAGATAAAAAGTATCAGTCAAATGATAAGCATGTCCGATTTATTTTCATCGTATTCTTGTTTTCGTAATATTAACATTCTAGTAACATAAATTAAGTGGATTATGACGATAAACAGTTAATATAGGAAACTAGATATTGCTTTCATGTCCTAGTAAATCGTCTATAAATACGCAGCTGCTTATTCGTTGCAGGATAGTTTGCAGTTAACATCCTTTCGCACCGTATTTATTATCTCCTTGCGCAAAGTTAGAAGATCTAGCATGAAAACTTTGGTGATTATTGCAGGTGTGCTGGCTGTTATGGTAAGCATCGAACGACAAGTCAAATTTTTTGCGAATTCACGGTGTTATTCGCAATATATATATTTCAAAATACATTTTCTTCTCTCACTTGTTTAATTTAAAAAATTTGCGAAAAAATAAAACCTAAATCTTTGAACAGTTGAAATTTCGTTAAAAGTGTTAGATTAGATATGATAAATTTATGATAAAATTATAAAGAGACAGATATTTCATTAGATTATTAAGCAAAAATAAAATGACTTTTATATTTTTTGGTACGACTGGTCCTGTTAGACTGTGGTTAACGGTTTAAATGTCGAAAAGTTACGAAATTTCTATCAACAGTATGCAAAGTGCGACGAAGAATTGGGCGGAACGTCAGGTAAACATTGAAATTTAGGACATTTAAAGGAATAAGATAAAAAATAAAATAATCTTTTTTATGTGTCATAACGATGATTTCATAATGCCACATTAAGAAGGATTCAGGATGAGAATCATTTAATTTTTTTTAACAACGAAACATTTATCGTCCTATATTTTTAACCGCTTTTTGGGATTAATTGAAAGTTATTCAACAGTTTTGCGTTTTTGACATAAAAGTGAAGATTTCGCTGTAGATCATTTACTGCCGTTACTTAACCATTTCACAGGATTGAAACCTTATAAAAAATTTATTCCACATAACTTGTATGTCGCAGTTGAACTACATCCGGAGAAGATCCATTGTGCTCTAGTAAAGCTTGGCAAGGTATGTATACTTAGATTAAATATGCAAATGACAAAATAGTCTTAAAACGCAACGTGTGATTACGAGGTTACCAGGATTTCATAACGGTACACAATCGTTTCTAAACATTAAAGTTATCGCAGCAACAAATTCTTGATTTAACGTAACATTCATACTTTTTTGAACAATCAATAAATAATAACGTGCGTATATGTAGGCGGAAAATTCTAACTATTTTAGTTATTTTAGTTATATGGAATCTTAAGATTATCCTGCCGGTTAGTGACAGATAATAGCATTTTCTGTATTTAAACGGAGAAACTGTTTCAATAAAAGTTTAAAAAATGGATAGGAAATAGGGGAATAATAAAAATATATTAGATGTATGCAAAAGTTTTGTCTTTTTTTAAATTTCATTTGTTTATTATATAATACGATACATGATGATATGATACAGGGACTATCATTCTTCGAAATATTTTCTTTCATTTCCTATAATCTTTTGTCATCTCTCGGGCAACTGTAGGATTCTTTCGCGAAAGCGAAAGAAATGTATCGGTTTGGGAGCAATGAATTTATCGAGCCATTTCTGCCACATCTCGAAAACGTTGTCCTGCTAAAAAGTGCTGCATCGATCGAAATACGTGATGATCGAAATGCGCCAAGTCAGGAGAGTACGCTGCGTGAAGAAGAACTTCTCAGCTCAAGTTAATAATAATTTATTAAGTGGTCGTGCAACAAAGTGACTTTCCGAATTTCTTGCTCAGTGAATGATCTTTGAAACTATTGCTTGGTCAACTCCGAGCTGTTTTGCAAGTTCTATGTGTATTTAGGAGAAGTTTTCATTCAACAAATCAATCAAATTGTCCGCTTCATCTCTCGGCATTTTAGTGCGCGGACAATCATTAATGTCAAAATCACCGTTTTTAAAGCGATGAAAACAATATTTGCACGAATTGTGGGACACAATATTTTCCCCAAAAACAGAAAAAGTGAATTCACATGCTTTAGCAGCATTCATTCCTTGCTAGAATTCGTATCGAATGCAGCGTCGAATATAAAGTTTTTCGTTTTTCGCTTATCATATCAACTGTTATTTTTAAAGTCATATGCACCATTGGATCATGATGAGTAGCGTTTTAAACAGTTCAATATTAACCTGACAAAAATACAAAACGGCTGGAAAATATTTCAATTTAAAATAATTACATTAGAGGATTGATAAATGCAAGTATATATTCTTGAAATGTTATTAACGCTTTGCAGATTAAACTAATTGTGTCGCTTGTTAAGCAAAGTGCTTAAACTAATTGTTTCGCGAAAATATTGTTAGCAAATATTGGCCGTTCATTACAAAAAGAATGAATTTTTTAGATGAAATAAAATTAACTTTATACAAGAAAAAAAATTCTAGTTGTGTATTAAGAATTCTTTTAATGAAAAGTACGAAATAAGATTCAGGTACAAATAAGAAGATGTTATTTTACCAAATTCAATGGGGAAAATAATCAATATAATATATTTCAGATTGTGAAAGCGAATGGCGAGTTTGACAAAGAGGAAACCTTGAAATCAATTGAGGAGACCATCACCGACGCAAATAAATTGAAACAGGCCAAAATGTTATTCCACAAATGCTATAACGAAAGTAATAATTAATAAATAATTCTTAAAATTCCATTCTATTGTCATGTTGAAAAAAATAATTTTAATAATTACCAAATTCTCTTTATTCGCAGCGATTCAAGGCGGAAGCACCGGTAAAGAGCAGACTATGAAAATTGTCACGTGCGCTTCAGCAATTGTGGATCTTCTCGACAAATTAAATTAAACGTTGATCGGAAATTTTCTGCCGAATATATTATGCCATACGTTTTTATTATATTTTGTCCACGATTCCATATGTAACCTTTTCTATATATTGTTTTCTTGCAGTGTAATTGCTTGCAATTGTATGTTTATAATGGCAATTCAATAAAATTAGCTAATCCTAAAGAGACTTTCAGTGAAACTGAACAAATCCTGATTGTAGATAGTAGACATTAATCACGATCGAATAAATCCATTTCCAGAATTGTGATAAGTTGACACGTATAAACGAGGCATCAGAATGTTGATGACATTACAAATTCTTTATAAATATAGATTGCACTTTGAATGCAAAACAATCTATAAAACGCCTCTCTCAGAGTGCATCTAATATTTTCTGGCACACACTGAAGGATACTACAAGATGAAAACTTTAGTGACCATAGTGGGTATATTAACCGTTATGGTAAGTACCAAGCTATGTAGTAAAGAATTCATTGTGAACTCACGAAGTATTAACGGTGCCTTCGATGTTATTGTTATATTATTACTACTTTATTTAAATAAACACTCTTGGCTTTCGTTTTATTACCTTTGGCCTATATTGATTTCAGCACTATTTATTACCTTGGGTCTATATCGATTTCAGCGGTATTTATTGTATTTTCGCTTTGATAATATGATAATTTATTGCTTTACCGCCAGAGTTCTTATCTATAGATGTTACAGCCATAAGTTTCATTCGGGGTTATAGTAAGGCTCTTCATTTGCACAAATTATTCAAACAGTAAATTATTATTAATTAATTTATTTTCTTCCTGATGATATCGAAATCATCTGGAAAAAACTTTCAGTAATAATACAATTAAATTAGTTACTTCTTGCAAATAGAAAATTCATTTCCGTTATAAATCGATTAAAGTGGCTATTGCATTTTATTATTAAACCAAAACTAAGCTATCGTTTACATTTGGCCGTTGAATTCTTTCAGTCAGTAGTTTCTGGTTTTAACGTCAAACGATTATAAAAATTCAATCAGGTCTTTGCAGAGTGTAACGAAGAATTGGGCGGGTCACCAAGTTAGTATTACAATATGGAACATACAAAAGATAACATAACATGTAAAAAATTACATAAATATAATTAAGCTTTTTCCTTGCAACAACGATTTTATAATTGAATAGTCTGATAAAAGTAGCCAGAGATTTGCAATCTCGTTACTCCTTTCCTACTTTTCTGATAGAGGACACAATTATCGAGAGATTTAAATACTCATGCGTTGATAATCTTCGCTAACATCCTTTAATAAAGTATAAACTAAAGAGCTAAGTGGAAGTGTTCCCACAAAAAATTAGTGAACACTCACTCATGATGGGCACAATACTATTTTACTGATTTAATCAATGATATTTTCACTGATTTGACTTAGGATAATAAACTCAAGAGCTTTGAATTCTTTATTGAAGAAGCGACGATGATGCTATAGATTAGTTCCAATTAATTATAATACACATAGCCTTCAAAGTCTCACCTAACACATACATAGTTATCTCACAATTACATTTGCAACTTCCACGTTACAGCTGAGCCCCATATCGATATGATCAAATGCGCGATAATAAAGGACGGCGGGGTATGTATACATTTCTATTTAATAAATATTCAATATTTTGAATTTAATCGTGCTGCTCTGACATGCCTTACAAGTAAAAACAAAAGAGACGTCTAAAATTAACGTTATCGCGAACATTCTTTCTTAAAATGTTATTTATGTTATGTTGATTGCAATTAAGATAGATGTCTCTCGTCTACACTGTTCAAAAAATGTAGACGTAGGATAGAAGAGGTAAAAAATTATTTAGATAGAATATATAAAAACAAGGAATTCAGTCCGATTTTTTAAAAAGATTATGGATTCTTTAGTTGGGAATTCTGTGCGGAATCAGGTTTAAAGTATTATATAATGTTTTAAACATGGAATTCTAAGTGGGGAACTCAAGTAGATTCCACATTTAATCTGATAAACGTTTTCCTATAGATAGTTTCTAGTTACTATTTTATATTAAAAATTACAGAAAACCAACGAAAAACTTTAAGTACTTACGTTTTATAATTATAAATATTTACGAAGGTCTATTCAATGAAAAAATCATATTGCATGATATAATAACACGTACAAAATAATCGATTTCATCTGTTCCAGATTCTTGACGCAAATCACGAGTATAAAATAGAGTCAGCTATGAAGAGATTTGGGGATCTTATATCATACGCGGCAGATTGGAACAAGCGCAGGGAATATTGTCCAAGTGCCACCGTAATGGTAAACAATTTTATTTTCATCTTGGAAAATATTTATCCAACTACTCACAACCGGATTCTTTGTAATTTCAGCGGTTGCCAGTGGAGCTATCGGCGACGAACAAACGATGCAAATTATTAAATGCAGTTTATCAGCTGTATCTCTCGTTGACCAATTACAGTAAAAACTTAGTTTGTATAGATTTGTATAGTTTATATAGATTGCTTCTGAATATATTTGTAAAGTATCAGTATGTGGTTGTAAAGTTTCATATATAAAATACAGGAGTAATATGATTTCTTGAGATTTTCTGTATCACTTTGCTTTGATTTATCCTTCTTTGTTGACTCGTATATTGGTGCTAATGATTCAATAAAATATGATTGACGCTAGATAAACAATCACGCGAACAAAAATAAAAAGCTCACTTTCGAATCGTCTTACTGAAGAACTTAAAAAAAATGTGATTTAAATGAAAAAATTATTTGCTCATTTCGAGTAATGTTTATTTTATTTGTAACGTTTATTTTTAATGTATTATGTTTGTTTTTATATTTATAATAAATTTATTATTACTCAAAGTGGTTCTCTTGTGGTTCTTCCATCTTCTTTGATAAACATGTTGATTGTCTGTTATAAACATGCTATATGTGAGTTTCGTGTTTGACACCAACTTTTTACACAGTGCTATTTTTCATTAAAATTAAGTCATGAAGTTTTGACCAACTTATCTCTGTAATTTTCAAAAAAGTAATATTAAATTGGTCGAAAAGATTTATTATCGTCTTATTAAATTCATATATTGAATCGATATTCGATAATCGATGTTTAATAATAATTAAAGTTTATATTATTGTAAAAATTGTAATCTTCCAAAATTGCGTAATTTTAGTTTTTGTAATTTTGTAATGTATACTTTATATTTTATTTCACAATCACGATCGATCTTTTACATTAATTTAATAATTCTGCAAAGTCTCGTATTGACTATATCCTTTCTTTCTATTCAATCGAGCATCATCGGAGTCAGATTGCATATCATGTTATAGTTTTGATGTAGCAATCATTAAATAATCCGACCGAACAGGTTTGTACTAGCAGATCTCTATTCAGATAAATTTATCGCCGTTATTACTGACCTACTCGGACCACGCAAATGATGGTACAAACATTATAATTCCATGCCGTAAAAGAATTCGATAGTATTCAAGCTCTACATGATTTATATTTTCCAAAACGAATCGTTACACAATTAATAAGAACAAGCGTGGCCATTACACCCGGTAACTTCTTATCTTATTTGTCACAGATGTCGAATAAGTTAATTGACAAAATATAATAAGAACATGAAGGTTGTCAGTGCAAGTCTTTAATACGTTTCGTGCCGGACCGATTTTTAGAGACTTTCCGTTCAGGCCGCGTGGGGCATATACACCTCACACTTTTACGATTAAATAAACTTGTTTTTTGACGTATGCCTTATGGTTTTTCAATAATACAAGACCGTAATTATGAAAAAAATGGTGTAGAATTTAATGTGAATTAGACAACAAAGCAATAAATTTAATTTTTAAGGAGTTGTTTTAACAAACACACGGTCGAACACTTACTAGGCGAGTCACGTGCTCCTAAATAATAATTTAATTGGTCTAAATTGATATAAAATAAAATATTTTATTTTAAATACGTCTGATATTATTGTTTATGTTACAAAGTTGCTAAAAATCACAAAGGCATATTGCGATGAGCTTTGTTGAAACAAGGCAAACATAAATGTGGTTCATTTGAACAACTATCGCAGAATGTTAAAACTTTTATAGTGGAATTTCTTGTAGATTTTGAACCAAACATTTTAACGTTATTTCCATAACAAATTTTACAACGAATTTTAACTGAATTGAAGCTGCCTTCTTTTTTTTAATTTCATGGCGAGTTATTTTTGATGTTATGGGTACAGAATTATTATCATCGTAGGACATTAGATGCATAGCTAATTTTTTCTTAAATACGACACTTGATAGTTTATTGTAGGTAAGACTATTTAATATTAATTTCGGACCGGTACTGTCACAACATGGTTCTTTCATTTTCTTTCCTCAAAATATTATTTATCTCTTCTCCAGTAAAAAATCACCGAGTTAAATTGCCAAATTATATTATAAAATTATCTATATATTTTTCTTTAGGTTTTCAATTTAATTATTGTTTGAATTCTTTCCTTTAACTGCTATTCGGAGCATAGGGCACTTTTCCCTCTTGCATATGCATGTGGAGCGCACAGATTGTACGCATGCATACGGGACCTACAGTTTTACGCAGGTTCCGAACGGCAGTTGGAGAGAAGTGTTTCTTTGGCATGAGATTACACTTGGCGGTTTGCCAGGCCACCAAGAGGAGCTACGTGCGTAAGAAAAATTCTTTTTCTTATTTGGTTCTGCCGGGGCGCGAAACCGGGACCTCTATAGCATAGTAGACTGGTGCGCTGTCTATTATACCACGCTCGCGCTTAATTATTGTTTGCACATACGTCTTCTGACGTATATTAATTTCCATATTACATGTACTATATTTATATGGAAAGTATCAATCAAATGATAAACGTCGGATTTTTTTTCATGGTTTTATTCTTGTTTTCGTAATATTTACATTCTAATAATATAAAGTAAGAGGATTATGACAAAAAACAGTTTATATAGGAAACTAGATATTGCTTTCATGTCCTAGTAAATCGCCTATAAATACGCAGCTGCTTATTCGTTGCAGGATAGTTTGCAGTTAACATCCTTTCGTACCATATTTATTATCTCCTTGCGCAAACTTAAAAGATCTAGCATGAAGACTTTGGTGATTATTGCAGGTGTGCTGGCTGTTATGGTAAGCATCGAGCGACGAATCAAATTTTTTGCGAATTCACGGTGTTATTCGCAATATATATATTTCAAAATACGTTTTCTTCTCTCACTTGTTTAAGTTAAAAAATTTGCGAAAAAATCCAACGTAAATCTTTGAACAATTGAAATTTCGTTAAAAGTGTTAGATTAGATACGATAAAATTGTAAACCGACAGATATTTCATTAAATTATTAAGCAAAAATAAAATGACTTTTATATTTTTTGGTATGACTGGCCCTGTTAGACGATGGTTAACGGTTTTAAGGTCGAAAGTTTACGAAATTTCTATCAACATTATGCAAAATGCGAAGAAGAATTGGGCGGGACGCCAGGTAAGCAGTGAAATTTAGGACATTCAAAGGAATAAGATAAAAAATAAAATAATTTTTTTATATGTCATAACGATGATTTCATAATGCCACATTAAAAAGGATTCAACATGAGAATCATTTATTTTTTTTAACAAGAAAATATTTATCGTCCTATATTTTTAACGACTTTTTGGGGTTATTTGAGAGTTATGCAACAGTTTTGCGTTTTTGACATAAAGGCGAGGGTATCGCTGTAAATAATTGAATGCCGTTACTTAACCATTTCATAAACTTGAAACCTCACATAAAACTTATTTCATGTAACTTGTATGTCGCAGTTGAACGACGTCCGGAGAAGATCCATTGTGCTCTAGTAAAGTTTGGCAAGGTATGTATACTTAGATTAAATATGCAAACGACAAAATAGTCTTAACACGCAACGTATGATTACGAAGTTACCAGGATTTCATAAAGGTACACAATCGTTTCTAAACATTATAGTTATCGCAGTAACAAATTCTTGATTTAACGAAACATCCTTACTTCTTTGAACAATCAATAAATAATAACGTGCGTATATGTAGTTGGAAAATGCTAACTATTTTAGTTATTTTAGTTATATGGAATCTTAAGATTATCCTGCCGGTTAGTGACAGATAATAGAATTTTCTGAATTTAAACAGTGAAACTGTTTCAATAAATGTTTAAAAAATGGATAGAAAATGGGGGAATAATAAAAATATATTACGTGTATGCAAAAGTTTGTTCTTTTTTTTAAATTTTATTTGTTTATTATATAATACGATGCATGATGATATGATACAGTGACTATAAATCAATCTTCGAAATATTTTCTCTAATTTCCTATAATCCTCTGTCATCTCTCGGGCAACTGTCGGATTCTTTCGCGAAAGGAAGGTATCGGTTTGGAAGCAATGAATTTATCGAGTTATTTTCTGCCGCATCTCGAAAACGTTGTCCTGCTAAAAAGTGCTGCATCGACCGAAATACGTGATGGTCCGAATGCGCTAAGTCAGGAGAGTACGCTGCGTGAGGAAGAACTTCTCAGCTCAAGTTAATAATAATTTATTAAGTGGTCGTGCAGCAAAGTGACTTTCCGAATTCCTTGCTCAGTAAATGATCTTTGAAACTATTGCTTGTGCAACTCCGAACTGTTCCGCAAGTTCTATGTGCATTTGGGACAGGTTTTCATTCAACAAATCAATCAAATTGTCGGTTTCAATCTCTCGGCATTTCAGAGCGCGGACAATCATTCATGTCAAAATCACCGTTTTTAAAGCGATGAAAACAATATTTGCACGAATTGTGGGTCACAATATTTCCCCCAAGAACAGAAAAAGTGAATTCACATGATTTAGCAGCATTCATTCCTTGCTAAAATTCGTATCGAATGCAGCGCCGAATATAAAGTTTTTCGTTTTTCGCTTATCATATCAACTGTTATTTTTAAAGTCATATGCACAATTGGATTATGATGTGTAGAGTTTTAAACAGTTCAATATTAACCTGACAAAAATACAAAACGGCTGGAAAATATTTCAATTAAAAATAATTACATTAGAGGATTGATAAATGCAAGTATATATTCTGGAAATGTTATTAACGCTTTGCAGATTAAGGTGCTTAAACTAATTGTTTCGAGAAAATATTGTTAACAAATATTGAACCTTCATTACAAAAAAAAGTGAATTTTTTAGATGAAATAAAATTAACTTTATACAGGAAGAAAAATCCTAGTTTATGTATTAAAAATTCTTTTAATGAAAAAGTCGAAATAAGATTCAGGTACATATAAGAAGATGTTATTTTACCAAATTCAATGAGGAAAATAATCAGTATAATATATTTCAGATTGTGAAAGCGAATGGCGAGCTTGACAAAGAGGAAGCCTGGAAATCAATTGAGGCCACTATCTCCGACGCAAACAGATTGAAACAGGCCAATATGTTATTCGACAAATGCTTTAACGAAAGTAATAATTAATAAATAATTCTAAAAATTCCATTCTATTGTCATGTTGAAAAAAATAATTTTAATAATTACCAAATTCTCTTTACTCGCAGCGATTCCAAGCGAAAGCACCGGTAAAGAGCAGACTATGAAAATTATCACGTGCAGTGCGTCAATTAAGGATCTTCTCGACAAATTAAATTAAAAGTGTATCGGAAATTTTCTGCCGAATATATTATGCCATACGTTCTTATTATATTTTGTCCACGGTTCCCTATGTAACCTTTTCTATATACATACCGTATGTTATGTATCCTCCGTTTGATTTTACTTTAGAAACACACTGAACTAAATAATCATTAGCTTTAAATCAAACACTAATTGTTGCTTCAACAACACGCGAAGAAATGACTGAACGATACAAGATCTCTGCCGTTTGCACAAAAGCCAGTCGAAAAAAAAAGAAACTCAGTCTCTGCTGTTTGAATAAAAGACAGTCGAAAGAATATGACTGCCACACCGCGTGGGGTATGCACACCCCACACTACGATAAATGCGGTATACATCATATTAAGATGCCTTTACTTGACTTTACAATAAATTAAAAAGAAATACTTCGTTTTTCGTTGAGAATCCCAAACGGCCTGAAGGGAAAGTTCAGCGGGGGGCGTGTACGCTCCACGCGGCACGGAATGTGTTAATAAGTATCTAATAAGAACGTGAAAGTTATGTTTGCAGGGAAGTACGTGGAACGCACTTTCGCGAAACACAAAAATGCAAACCGGTCACCGAGCAAAGTTCACTTAACCTACTTGATTTTCTATTTAATATTAATTTCAGACCGGTACTGTCACAACATGGTTCATTCATTTTCTCCTCTCAAAATATGATTTATCTCTTGGCCAGAAAAAAATCACCTAGTTAAATTGCCAAATTATATTATATTATAAAATTATCTACATTCTTGTCTTTACGTTCTCAAATTAATTTTGTTTGAATTGAATGGAATTCTTCCCTTTAACTCCTATTCGGAGCATAGGGCACTTCTCCCATTTCCATATGCATTTGGTGCGCACAGATTGTACTCATGCATATGTGACCTACAGTTTTACACCAGTTCCGAACGGGAGTTGGAGAGAAGTGTTTCTTTGGCATGAGATTACACTTGGCGGTTTGCCAGGCCACCAAGAGGAGCTACGTGCGTAAGAAAAATTCTTTTTCTTATTTGGTTCTGCCGGGGCGCGAAACCGGGACCTCTATAGCATAGTAGACTGGTGCGCTGTCTATTATACCACGCTCGCGCTTAATTATTGTTTGCACATGCGTCTTCTGACGTATATATTAATTTCCATATTACATGTACTATATTTATATGGAAAGTATCAATCAAATGATAAACGTCGGATTTTTTTTCATGGTTTTATTCTTGTTTTCGTAATATTAACATTCTAGTAATATAAATTAAGTGGATTATGACGATAAACATTTATTATAGGAAACTAGATATTGCTTTCGTGTCCTAGAAAGTCTCCTATAAATACGCAGCTGCTTATTCGTTGCAGGATAGTTTGCAGTTAAAATCCTTTCGCACCATATTTATTATCTCCTTGCGCACACTTAGAAGATCTAGCATGAAGACTTTGGTGATTATCGCAGGTGTGCTTGCTGTTATGGTTAGCATCGAGCCACGAGTCAAATTTTTTGCGAATTCACGGTGTATTCGCAATATATATATTTCACAATACGTTTTCTTTTCTCACTTGTTTAAGTTAAAGAATTTGCGAAAAAATCGAACCTAAATATTTGAACGGTTGAAATTTCGTTAAAAGTATTATATTAGATCTGATAAAATTATAAACCGACAGATATTTCATTAGATTATTAAGGAAAAATGAAATCTCTTTTATATTTTTTGGTGTGACTGACCCGGTTAGACGGGGATTAACGGTTTCGATGTCAAAAATTCACGAAGTTTCAATCAATATTTTGCAAAATGCGAAGAAGAATTGGGCGGAAAGCCAGGTAAACATTGAAATTTAGGACATTAAAAGGAATAAGATAAAAAATAAAATAAATTTTTTTATGTGTCATAACGATGATTCCTTATGCCACATTAAGAAGGATTTTCAGCTTGAGAATCATTTTTTTTTTTAACAAGAAAACATTTATCCCCCTATATTTTTAACGACTTTTTATAGTTATTGAAAGTTATTCAACAGTTTTGCGTTTTTGACATAAAAGCGAGGGTATCGCTGTAAATAATTGACTGCCGTTACTTAACCATTTCATACAAAACTTGAAACCTCACATAAAACTTATTTCATGTAACTTGTATGTTGCAGTTGAACGACGTCCGGAGAAGATCCATTGTGCTCTAGTAAAGTTTGGCAATGTATGTATACTTAGATTAAATATGCAAACGACAAAATAGTCTTAACACGCAACGTATGATTACGAGGTTACCAGGATTTCATAAGGGTACATAATCGTTTCTAAACATTATAGTTATCGCAGTAACAAATTCTTGATTTAACGTAACATTCTTACTTCTTTGAACAATCAATAAATAAGTTAATAACGTGCGTATATGTAGTTGGAAAATGCTAACTATTTTAGTTATTTTAGTTATATGGAATCTTAAGATTATTCTGCCGGTTAGTGACAGATAATAGAATTTTCTGAATTTAAACAGTGAAACTGTTTCAATAAATGTTTAAAAAATGGATAGAAAATGGGGGAATAATAAAAATATATTACGTGTATGCAAAAGTTTGTTCTTTTTTTAAAATTTTATTTGTTTATTATATAATACGATGCATGATGATATGATACAGTGACTATAAATCAATCTTCGAAATATTTTCTCTAATTTCCTATAATCCTCTGTCATCTCTCGGGCAACTGTCGGATTCTTTCGCGAAAGGAAGGTATCGGTTTGGAAGCAATGAATTTATCGAGTTATTTTCTGCCGCATCTCGAAAACGTTGTCCTGCTAAAAAGTGCTGCATCGACCGAAATACGTGATGGTCCGAATGCGCTAAGTCAGGAGAGTACGCTGCGTGAGGAAGAACTTCTCAGCTCAAGTTAATAATAATTTATTAAGTGGTCGTGCAGCAAAGTGACTTTCCGAATTCCTTGCTCAGTAAATGATCTTTGAAACTATTGCTTGGTCAACTCCGAGCTGTTCTGCAAGTTCTATGTGCATTTAGGACAGGTTTTCATTCAACAAATCAATCAAATTGTCGGCTTCAATCTCTCGGCATTTCAGATCGCGGATAATCATTCATGTCAAAATCACCGTTTTTAAAGCGATGAAAACAATATTTGCACGAATTGTGGGTCACAATATTTTCCCCAAAAACAGAAAAAGTGAATTCACATGATTTAGCAGCATTCATTCCTTGCTAAAATTCGTATCGAATGCAGCGCCGAATATAAAGTTTTTCGTTTTTCGCTTATCATATCAACTGTTATTTTTAAAGTCANATCCGAATGCGCCAAGTCAGTAGAGTATGCTGCGTGAGGAAGAACTGCTCAGCTCAAGTTAATAATAATTTATTAAGTGGTCGTGCAGCAAAGTGACTTTCCGAATTCCTTGCTCAGTAAATGATCTTTGAAACTATTGCTTGGTCAACTCCGAGCTGTTCTGCAAGTTCTATGTGCATTTAGGACAGGTTTTCATTCAACAAATCAATCAAATTGTCGGCTTCAATCTCTCGGCATTTCAGATCGCGGATAATCATTCATGTCAAAATCACCGTTTTTAAAGCGATGAAAACAATATTTGCACGAATTGTGGGTCACAATATTTTCCCCAAAAACAGAAAAAGTGAATTCACATGATTTAGCAGCATTCATTCCTTGCTAAAATTCGTATCGAATGCAGCGCCGAATATAAAGTTTTTCGTTTTTCGCTTATCATATCAACTGTTATTTTTAAAGTCATATGCACAATTGGATTATGATGTGTAGAGTTTTAAACAGTTCAATATTAACCTGACAAAAATACAAAACGGCTGGAAAATATTTCAATTAAAAATAATTACATTAGAGGATTGATAAATGCAAGTATATATTCTGGAAATGTTATTAACGCTTTGCAGATTAAAGTGCTTAAACTAATTGTTTCGAGAAAATATTGTTAACAAATATTGGACCTTCATTACAAAAAAAAGTGAATTTTTTAGATGAAATAAAATTAACTTTATACAGGAAAAAAAATCCTAATTCATGTATTAGCATTCTTTTAATGAAAAGGTCGAAATAATATTCAGGTACATATAAGATGTTATTTTACCAAATTCAATGGGGAAAATAATCAGTATAATATATTTCAGATTGTGAAAGCGAATGGCGAGCTTGACGAAGTGGAAAGCTGGAAATTATTTGAGGACACCATCTCCGACGCAAACAAATTGGAACAGGCCAAAATGTTATTCTACAAATGCTATAACGAAAGTAATAATTATAAATAATTCTCAAAATTCCATTCTATTGTCATGTTGAAAAAAATAATTTTAATAATTACCAAATTCTCTTTACTCGCAGCGATTCAAAGCGGAAGCACCGGTAAAGAACAGGCTATGAAAATTATCACGTGCGCTTCGCCAAATTTGGATCTTCTCGACAAATTAAATTAAAAGTGGATCGGAAATTTTCTGCCAAATATATTGTGCCATACGTTCTTATTATATTTTGTCCACGATTCTCTATGTTACTTTTTTAATTCATTGTTTTCTTGCTGTGTAATTGCTTGCGATTGTATATTTATAATGGTAATTCAATAAAATAAGCTAATCCTAAAGAAATATTCAGTGAAATTGAACAAATCCTGATCGTAGACAGTAGACATTAATCGCGTTCGAATAAATACATTTCCCGAATTGTAACAAGTTGACACGTATAAACTTATGTATTGTTTCGTACTGATTGTCAGTCTTGAACGTAAGAATACCTGAACGAAGCATATTGTTGAGAGAATGAAACATTTCATACAATTCGCTAGGACTTTTGACGATTCTGACCAAGAAATACGCCGCATTGACTTTGACAAAGGATCAAGAAAACGCTTTATCTCTTATAAGGAATCGGTAAATCATTGATGTCTAACGTTTGTAGCAAAATATTAAAATTGCAACACTAGCATTCCTTTGCAAATCCGGATAACGGTAAGTGATAAGTAGTCGATTAACTTGTTTAGTACATTATCGTTTTTAAATATGCGATTATAACTCCGATGTAACGTAATCTACGACTAAATATACTTGTGAAGAGCATTTTTTACTTCTTTGGTTGTATTAAAAGCATCAAGTATGAAGAATTTGATGATTATTGCGGTTGTATTGATTATTACGGTAACTACCACTCAACAAGTATACTTCATTATGGCTTCATCAACTCCTTTATCTTAATACATTAAAACACATGATTGAACCAGTAAGGTTACAAAGTTATGTTTTTTTTAATATCCCATAAAATCTATTGTCTCTGTTTTCTTCTACAGTCAATATTTAACTAACAAGAACTTTATAAAAGTAACAGACGTACGTCAAGTATTAGATATGTTAGGCATGTTAATTAATTCAATGCTTTTAGATTTATACATTTTTAATAAGCATTTTAAATTTAAATATGTTTTTGTTCAATTGTGGTTCTAAAGAGCTACCATCTATGTTTACAAAGTATCATATAATATCATAGAATAAATATCAAATAAAATCAATTTCATTTCATAACCTTACTGGTTCAATCATGTGTTTTAATGTATTAAGATAAAGGAGTTGATGAAGCCATAATGAAGTATACTTGTTGAGTGGTAGTTACCGTAATAATCAATACAACCGCAATAATCATCAAATTCTTCATACTTGATGCTTTTAATACAACCAAAGAAGTAAAAAATGCTCTTCACAAGTATATTTAGTCGTAGATTACGTTACATCGGAGTTATAATCGCATATTTAAAAACGATAATGTACTAAACAAGTTAATCGACTACTTATCACTTACCGTTATCCGGATTTGCAAAGGAATGCTAGTGTTGCAATTTTAATATTTTGCTACAAATGTTAGACATCAGTAATATCAAATCAAATCAATAAAATCAAATCAAATCAATAAAATCTTTGAAAACAATAGTGTTCAGATATTACTATCGATGAAGCATTATTTCACATTGCATTTCTTGCGTATTAACTATAAAAAAATGTTACTAAATTCACATGAATGATTTGTTCGGCTCCTGGCGGAGACACAGTGAGTCATAAAAGTTGTAAAAATAATATCAGAATTTTCAAGAAGATTTCGAGAAGGTCTGTACTCAAAGATAACGCGAAACTTTACGGCAAAGACAAAAGGAATAAAAAATATTATTTTTAATACAAGATGAATAGTTATATCGTACCTGGCTTATTTTCTAAATAATCTTTTTTATAGGACACTTTATATAACCTCATCTGTGCAACGTTTAATTTTTCTTTGCTGACTTTTATAATGGTAACATTGGTAACATTGGACTTTTATAATGGTAACATTGGTAACATTGGACTTTTATAATGGTATATTTATAGTGGTAATTTAATAAAATGCATTTGTACTGAAAAAAACTTTCAACAAGACTAAATGAATTTCGATTGAAGAAAGTAGACAAACAATAAAGTATGTAATTAACTGAACAAATGTGGCGAAAGATGTGTTTGTTTTCAAATCGTTTATCGAAACATGACGAGTTAATATATGTGTGATCTCGTACAATAATTCGCACCAAGCTAATTCAATCGACGACTATAGACAACTAATCGCGTATAAAATTTCACAAATTTTATGTATGAATAGAATTGCTTCTCTTATGCAAAAGTACGTTAATTATATGTAAAATGGTATGTCTTACAATTTCAGAAAATTTCATTCTTAATGAACACAACATGTTATTATAGTTTATTTATTTTTGAAGGATGATATTAATATGAAATATTAAGACACATATAAATTTAGGTACTACATGTAAAAAAACATATGAACATTAAATTATTTAAATTATACTAAGTATTTTTTATTCTTTAACATTACATTAATTTACATTAAAAGTGTATTTTCAAGTCACTTTTAATTTTTTATAACATACCTCCTTTCTTTTTACAATGATTTTTTTTATTATAATAAAATTTAAAAAAAGTTTCTATATTCTATGGAAAACTTTGTAATTCTGTTTCCATTATTCTTCATGCGATGAACAATTCTTAATTTGGGAACACTTCCAACAATCTGTGTCATATTTTTTTAACATAACGCTTTGAAATAAATTTGTATTCATATATAAATTTTTCATTCAGGCATAAACAACTATCGTTATCGCACGTGTGACGTTAGTCTCTCCTGAAATATCAGTGAGTTATATATGTTTAACATTTATGGCAAAAATTTTAAAATTGTTTGTAATTTTATCAGCATTCTTTACGCTGTGAATCCAGATAACAGCAAATGATAGGTAGTAGATTAAAATTTATGTATAGCAAGTCGCCTTTAAATACGCGAATATAGCTCCGATGCAACATATGACTGAACACCTGACCATCAAAAGCACATTTCTTTCTTCGGTTATACTGAAAGTGTCAAGTATGAAGACGTTGATGATTATTGTGGCTGTATTGGCCATTATGGTAACTACCATTCAACATATACTTCATAATAATTTCATAAACTTCTTTACCTTAATCCATTAAAGCACATAACTACACTAGTAAGGTAGACAGAAAAAGTAAAAATTAAAAATAGGGCCAAAGTATGAACAAATATTTTTGAAATAAAAAGTGCATGTCAAAAATCAATTTTGCACAAAATTGTTATAAGAAAATTATTAAACATTAACAGTAGAAGGAAACCGATCAAACCTAGAAATTTTAAGGTAAAAGTTGTAAAAGAAACACATACAACATTTTCTTGTTTCGTCCTTAGTTTATACGAAGAAAAAATCAAACTCATCGTTTATTGAAATTCGTTCCAGTCTATGGTAAGACCAATAATGTTGCAATAAAACAATAATTAGAAATATGATTAGAACGTCAAAAGCATTTTTGAGAAAAGTACATCACAAAAAAAATTTGCAAAATTTCAATAAACCATGATATTTATAATTCCTTTTGTCAAAAACCTTACCAAGGTAAAAAGCATATGTAAAATATTAGATATATTAATTAATTCGATGTTATATACATTTTTAATAAATATTTTAAATTTTAATATTTTTCCGTTCAACTGTGACTCTGAAAAATTTTTAGTTGACTTAGTTCTAACCTTAAAAAGGTTACTCACGGTAGAGTCAGAATTATAAAGACATATTAACACATTAAGGGCGGGAGTCGTAGTACTACGATTTAGCTCGACTGCGGCTTAAAGGCGGGAGTCGTAGTAATACAATTTAGCTCGACTGTACCTTAAAGTTTTTATGATCACACAAAATATCGCCCGCCGTTAATGTATTAAAACCGAGAGCGAGAAGGAGAGAGATGGAGAGAAAGAGAGAAAAAGAGGGTGAGAGAGAAAGAGAGAGTGAGAAAAAGAATGAGGGGGGGGGGAGAAAGGGAGAGGGTGAGAGACAGGGAGGAAATGAGGCTTTTCCTAAATATATAAATACTTATATAATTTCCATAATATAATTTTTTCTTTGGAGGGATAAAATAATAATCATAGAACTTTCGGCTTCATACTATTTAAAGGAAACATTAAATTATCAGTTGACCGATATCGTGATGTAATCGATTATTATATCAAGTCGAAATAATATTTATATTTCAAATGTGATTAATCTTTACAGACAGTGGGTTACGGTTCCGACAGGGAGAGGATTAACAATATGCGTAAAATTTTAATGAAGTGCAGCAACAAATATGGTGGGTCGTTGCGTAAGTATCAAAAGTGAGAAAAATTGAGCGAATGCAGCCAAACAAAAATTAAATATCTGTGTTTTGTATCAATAATTACTCATAACAGAATATTTGTAAACAGATTACAACGGATTAACATTTGCGTTGTTTTTTTTCTTTTTGGATAAGGAAAAATAACGATAAGGACAAGCTTATCGTTTTGTATTGTTAACATTGGACTCGTTAAGCAGAAAGTTTATTTTGCAATTGTTGAAAGTTTTCTGAACGAATATTGGGTTATTTTTTTAAATGTAGAAGAATTATTCAATTTCTGTACACAAAACAAACATTTGTAAAATAAACGTTCTGATAAACGCAGCCAATATTTTGTGTCTTTCAATACCATACTCAAGTACTTTACGATACTGCTAGAGAAAGTAACGTTGTAACAAATTGAATGGCAATAATTATAGTATTTAACCAGAATTTGGATTTTCGCAATTGAATTACTAAAATTGTAATTTAAACTTTGCAGCTAAGCCCACTGTGGAAATGCTTTTGTGCGGGGCGGAAATGGAAGGTCGAGTACGTATATTCGTACTTAATGCTTATTGTACTATACTTTCGTCTATCTATCTATTTTCTAGATAATAACTTTACAAGACAATAATTTTACAAAATGACCTTAGTCCTATTTGCCAGCTTGATCAATTTTATGCGTATAGTTGTATAGTTCAGTACGTCTTACTTCCGCCTTAGATCCCCTTGTACAAGAATAAAAATAAAACTAAGATATAGTATTAATATAAGTAGATGCAAGCTAGTTTTACGAAAATTTATTGAAACTTTATAGATTTAAATTAAAATCTTTTTCATATAAAAGTGTCGATGGAAAGATTCTCTTACATGTTAAGAAAGGTCACTACAATAACTCAAAAGAAATACAT